AAAAAAAAAAAAAAAAAAAACACCTAGTGATGCATGAAAAGATAGAAGCGCTTCTCAGGGGCCTCTGGGAGAGCCCGTTCCAGATTCCCACGGCAGGGACCTTAGTTTATCCTTCCCTCTCATCCTGGGGGGCCCGCTTCTCCCTGGAAGTGGGTCCTTCGGGGGACACAAAGCGCTTCTTTCAAGCCCGGACGTTAACAAGTGACACGACCGCTTTATTTCCCGAGGAAGCGCCCCCACCACCCCCACCCCCAGTCGCCGGGACACGAAGCGCATCCCCAGCGCGCGAAGCGGGCGGGTCTCGGCCCGGGCTGCCCCCTTGCAGGCCCGCGGCTCACTCACTGGGGCTTTGTCTTCGCCGCTACCTTCCTTTTTCAAAAGCCAGGAGTGAATTGCTCCGTTCCTGTGCGCGCCAAACCTCTCCAAAGCCGCGAGGCTCCAGGAGCCCAGAGCCCAGCCTCCCCAGCCGGCGCGGAGCCCGCACCTGGAAGCCAGGCCCGGCCGGCGGACCCAGCGCGCCCGGAGCAAAGACGCCCGGCTCTGCGCTCAGGAAGGAAAACGACCTCTCCCGAAAAGACTGAAGCACTTTTTTCCTCTCCACTGAAAGCCGGGGCACAACCCATTTTGAACCAGAATAATTTAGTCTGACAACAGATTCCTCCTCTGCTCACAGCTGGCCCAGAGGGAGGAGCTGAAATCTGAACCTCTCGGCTGTGATTGGACCCTTCTCGCGAAAGAGAGGAAAAAAAGGCCTCCCCGCCGCCACCGCGGGCTCAGTCCGCGAGGAGCCCGCGACCTGGCGGCGCCGCGCGCGCACCTGCGGGGCAGAGATGCTGTAGGACCGCGCGCCCCGCGCCCAGCGCCCCGCGCCCCGCGCCCCGCGCCGCCGCCAGGATGCCGCGCTCCTTCCTGGTCAAGAAGCATTTCAACGCCTCCAAGAAGCCCAACTACAGCGAGCTGGACACACACACAGGTAAGGGGGGGCCAGATGTCCGCATCTCAGTCTGTAAATGGGTAACGACAGGGGTGTGCCGCCTCTCGACTTCAGTACGAAAGAGCTGGACACCCAGGCTGTTTGCTCCCGAAAGAGCGGTCCTTCCTCAGATCGTTCGGGCTCGGGTTTAATTCAAAACTTCCACACTCTGAGCTGGCGAAGAGAACTTCCCTGGGCTCTTGCGACGTCACGTTCCGCAGCGTGTACATACTTGCATAATGAGGACGTGGAGGCTGGGTGAGGCAGTGCGTGAACGTTGAATTATTGCCTTTTTCATGTAATAAGGCTCCTTTCCTCCAGAAAGCGGCTTGATTTACGCCAATCCTTGTAGTTACCGGCGTGAGCCAAGCAAGCAGCCCACGCATGAGATGGAAGAGAACTTTTCTGTATCTTTAGAAAGTGGGTAGGTTTCCCCCTGCGCTTGCTGGTCTCAGGGCCGGGCAGCCCCCCACACTTGCTCATGTGCGGGGCGTGGGGGGTGGTGCAGAAATGAGCCTTAAGCGCAGTGACCGCGAGCAGCGGCGGCGGAAAAGTAATGTCCTCCCAGCGCCTTCCTGCTCCTGGGAGTCTGTCTCCTTGTTCCCTGCGCTTTCACGGTGCCCTCTGTCTCACGCCCCGCTTCTCTCCTGTCTCCGCAGTGATTATCTCCCCGTGTCTCTACGAGGGCTACCCGGTGCCTGTCATCCCTCAGCCGGAGGTCCTCAGGTCGGGAGCCTACAGCCCCATCGCCGTGTGGACCACCGCCTCTCCCTTCCACGCCCCGCTGCCCGCCGGCCTCTCCCCTCTGTCCGGATACCCCGCATCCTTGGGGCGCGTGAGTCCCCCTCCTCCGTCCGACACCTCATCCAAGGACCACAGCGGCTCCGAGAGCCCCATTAGCGACGAAGAGGAAAGGCTACAGTCCAAGCTATCAGACCCCCACGCTATCGAAGCTGAAAAGTTTCAGTGCAATTTATGCAATAAAACCTATTCCACCTTCTCGGGGCTGGGCAAACACAAGCAGCTGCACTGTGACGCCCAGTCCAGGAAATCCTTCAGCTGTAAGTACTGTGACAAGGAATACGTGAGCCTGGGCGCCCTCAAGATGCACATTCGGACGCACACCTTACCTTGTGTCTGCAAGATCTGCGGCAAGGCGTTCTCCAGACCCTGGTTGCTGCAAGGACACATCAGAACGCACACTGGTAAGAGAAACACAGTCAGGGTGTCACCCTCCAGCAGAAGGAAGCTCTGGGCTGGCTGTCCCATTTGCCTTAAGTGGTGACACAGTACTTCTGATGATGGATGTTCGTTTTTAGCTACTTCCTGACGACTCAAAAAGTCCTCAGAGCAGAAAGGGCTCCACTGCTTGCTAACAGCCTCTGCTCCCGAGACTGCAAACAGCATTTAGACTTTGGAAAGTTAGATTCAGGAGGTTTGGTCTCAAAGATCAGTTAGCAAATCAGGAGAGATGTGCTTGGCCGTTTGTTCTGTGAAATGTCTCCCAATGATTAGCAAATACCGATGTTGTTCTCCCAATCAACTGATTAGGCAGACAGACCGATGATGAAGTTTTGGGTTCTTGGGTTTTTGTTAGTTACATTCTTGCTGTTCTGTCTCTCACCCACAGCAAGTTGGATAGCGAGGGCTGAATTTGCTTTCCGTTGTTTGCTTTTGTTTTGTTTTTGCTGCTGAGTTTTCTATTCCTAGCACAAAATCACCCTGCCAGGAGCGGGGGCACTCACCCAGGCTTAGTCATAATACAGAAGGAGGGAAAAGGGGAACTGTTGGGAAACCTGGGGAGGAGCTGGCCGTTAGCTGCACCTGCCGAAGAAGAGAGCTTGAACAAGCCAAGTCCTAGCACGACAGGAATTATTTCTGCAGGACTGGCAGCAGAAATTATATATTTTTTTTATTTTTTTTATTTGTTTTTTTTTAAGTGCAACTTTCACATTTGTCTTAAAGGGCCAGACATTGAAACAAATATCGATTAAGGGGGATTTGAATCAAGTTTTGCTCCTTCTCATGCTTTTGGCAAAGTGTGAAGATTGCTTGTAAGCCTCTTCTGGATTTGCATTTCCTCTGAAAACACTGACCATCTTTCTTTCTCCCCACCCCGCCCCACCCCCCCAGGGGAGAAGCCTTTTTCCTGCTCTCACTGCAGCAGGGCCTTCGCAGACAGGTCCAATCTGAGGGCTCACCTGCAGACGCACTCGGACGTCAAGAAATACCAGTGCAAGAGTTGCTCCAAAACCTTCTCGCGGATGTCCCTCCTGCACAAGCATGAGGAGTCTGGCTGCTGTGCGGCGCACTAGTGTCACAGCCCCTGTTTACTCGGGCAGACGCCTTTCTTGTTCACTTGTCACGCATTTTACTTGTCACTCCACCTCTGAGCGACAAGTAAAAGTCCAAAGGCATTTTGTCTTGTGCTGACAAACTCAAATAATATGTATAGACACACACACACACACACACACACACACACACACACAGCTGCCAGGGCAGGGGATTCCATGTGCATCAGATTAATCCTTTCCATGTGAAGTTTAAAATGACCGTATATTTACTGACCGTTAGATGGAGAGGATAAAAGACAAGAATCTTGCTCTTCTATGATGAAGCAAAAAGCACATTGCATCTTTTCTTACTAAGAAAGAATGCAAAGATTTACATTGCTGCCAAAGCATTTCAACTGAAAAGAACAGTGTTTCCTTGTACGGGATTTGTAATAGATTTTCCTATAGGACAAGAATCTGCCAGACACTATCTCAGGTGCCTTATAAAGTATTCCAAGTTCACTTTATTACATGTGTCATGTCTGGTCACCATCCTTGAACTGAAGCCTGCTTTGTTACCTGTCGTACTTTAAACTTTGTTTTTGAGGGAGAGAGGGAGAAGGAAAGAGAGAAAGAACAAGAAGAAAAAACACAAGAGAATGTATTAAAAGTGTTTTTTTCTTCTTTTTTTGGCTAATAAATAGTATGTGCCTTCGGGAGTCGGGAAAGACTATTTTGAACATTCCTGGTGCATGCTCCATGTCTTATGTTTTAAAAGATTTTTAATGATTTTCTAAAATCAACTAAAGATGGGAATAAGTGCAACAAAGGATTTTTAGAAACTCTGTGATGTACTTAAACAACTTTAAATGCATACAACAAATGCAATCCACAACTGCACCCCTTCTAGCTGTCTTTTTAGTTAACTGTATAGTTGATGAGTCCATGTAAATTTGTGTTTATTTTTATATGATTGAATGAGTTTTGTATGAAAGTGAAAAGTTGTCTATAGCCAATGCCTATAAACAACCTGAAGACTTGTGAAATTTACATTTCTTTAAAAAAAAAAACAGTTTTCAAGGTTCTTTTTTACAATAAACATTTTTGATTTAAAATCTATTGTTTGTATGCTCTCAGAAACTTTACTTACTTCATGATTAGTTCAAACAACTATATAAAGAACTGCTTCTTTTGTTAATAAGAGATAAAGTGAATGGTGTTCATTATGAATATCAACTGTTAGTTTATGTGTTCGATTATAGTAAAGCCAGTAATTTTTTTTACTCCTAAGATAGTACTGTTACATTCAGAAAGACAACATCTTACTGGGAGTTTGTTAGCATACCTCTAACAAAAATCACACTTTCTGAGTGCTAAGAATATTCACCTTACTGATAGTCAAGAATATCTTTCAAAACTTTTTCTTTTTGATGACATGATTGTGTTGGCTTTATGAAATCAAATTATAGTCACTGGTTGTAATTAGTGTCTGTCATATGGTCCTCCAGAACAGTTTAAGGACTCTAAAAGAAATGTCATTAATGATATATAAGAAGAAAAATAGAGCATCTGCATGAAAAGATCAGGAAAAAGATTTATTTATAGTGGTAGACTTATTACAAATTACACAAGTTGGAAAATTAAGTCATTCAAAGAAAGCACCACATTTAGTGGGTTAAGATAATCAGCAGTCTGACAGGTGCATGGCTAAGAAAGAGAAGGTTGGCTTTTCTTTTTATGGTATTTTGAAGAGGCCCCGACTCAAACCCACTGTGACCTAATCCAACAGGGCAAGACTGGCCAGCCCACCTACAAGCACATGCTCACCAAACACAGTGGACTGACTCACACATTAGGATGCTAAACAACCGTCACAGGCACTGTGACAGTCACCACACTATGTATTTAAATCCAGACTCAAACCCATGTTGAGCAGAGTTCCTGCCACCATTAATCACTTCTCTCTGGTTTGCTCAGAACTCAAAGAATTATTTTTCCTTCTAATGTCCTTGTGATACAAACAAAAGCAGAACCAGTATCTCAAAGACATTAGCAATACCAACATATTCTTTAGATGCTCAGACACATCCCAATGTGTGTTACATTTAAGTTTTAGCTGATATATAAAAAGGGAGTATGTCGACCAAAAAGCCCCTCAATTTCATATTTTGTTTAATTTTTTTGTATCTCGGGACATATCTCTCTAAAGCAAAATTATTTGAAGAGCAATTTATAAATGTAACAGAGATGGCTGATGTCTTGTCTGGGGTATTCTAAAGTCAAGAAGAGACTGCTTAATTTGTGTATATGGTATATAAACGATGCCCAGAAACTTGCAGGCTAGGTAATAAGTAGAAATATCTCACAAGGACACGTGTACGTGAGGCAGGCAGCATCTTTGTGGCCTTCTGGTTGGTTCTCCCAGAACCACATGACTAGCTTTCCTTTCCGTGTCTGTAGATCTGCAGGCATCTCATTTCCTGGTGTCCAAAACACAAACATAATTTTCTAAGAGGAAAATCTGTTCATTCGTTTAAATTCCTAGTGAAGAATTAGTGGTAATATTTTTGAAATATTATATATTTTTTGCAGTACATATAAAATGTACATTTCTGCTTTGTCCTTACAATTTTCATTGCATTCATGATTTAAATATTCTACTTTCATTAATGTCATGAGTTTGAAGTACAGTACATCAATTAGATATTGAGATTTTCTATAGGTATAGCTCAGTAATTTTTTAGAATTTTCAGCTTTTCTATGAGGTTTTTGCACATCCTGTAATACATAAGACCTGGCTTGGATGTCACATACTTGGAATACTTCCCAAAATTCAATCTTTCTGAAAGAGTTATATCATTCAGAATATGGTGCTTATCTTCCTGAAGGGCAGTTTCTTGAAAACGTTTTCCCTCACTAGACAGAGCACCTTAAAATAAACTCACAGCAGCCAGTACATCATCTAGAACACAGATATTAATACATGTTTGTTGAATGAATAAGTGAATTAAAATAATAGAAATTGGTGAAAATGACCTAAAATACATTTAACATATTTCCCTTTATTGCAAAAAGTCTTGATAATTTTTGAGAGATCCTCTAGACAAATGTGCTGGTGAGTCTCCTAACAGTGATGCCAGCCTCCCGCCAACAGGGCAGATGCTTCAAACAGGGGATAAGGGGCAGGTGCACCTGGACCAGGTTTGATGGACTTTCTGAGAAACTGAGCTTTGAAAACTATTGTTTTAATAATCAGGATGTGTTCTAAGGAGCCTACTCAGGATCCATCCTTGTTCCCTATGAGACAGAGTGGCACAGTAGGAGGAGTCCCAGCTTTTATTTTCAGCTTATATGTTTATATTATTGGCTTTATGTCCTTCTGCAACCTGACCCCTCGGCACCCCGTTTCCTGAAGTTTAAAGGAGGACGAGACCCGAAGGGTCACAGCTGTGGCCCTTCAGTCTCGGGCACGGTGTCCAGGGTGCTCTCACTCCACGCTCAGCCAAACCTGCTCCCTGGTCGGATGTCCCCTCACCCGGTCGCCTCCGGTGGCCATGGAGTCTCTATGAAGTTGGTCTTTTACGGCTACAAAGATTAAACTCTGAGTTTGGAGAATGGAGCCAGGGCACCAGAGGCCATGAGCTGCAGAACTGAAATCCAAACCCAAATTCTCCGGTTTTCCAGACCTGCTTCTTCTGCTGCCCTTGGGAGGAAGGGCCCCTGGAGCACCTGGGTCATGGACACCTGCATCGCAGGCACATGGCAGGCAGCGGCCTCTGGAAGCCCAAGAGGACGCGCTCCTAGATCACCCAGTGCAGGGCTGAGCTCAGGAACCATCGTAACTCGGGGATTACACAATCACGTCCAACAATCTCCAGAGGCATTTCCCAACTCGGCTGGAGAAGCCCTGTTGGCCCCACTTCCTGCGGGGCCGCCTGGCAAGGCCCAATCCCCACCTCCCCACAGCTCCCCTGCGCCCTCCTGGGGCCACGAGCCATTTCCTCCCCCGACCCCCACCCCGGCAAGCTGGAAGGCAGCTGGTCTTCATCCTCAGCCGTTAACACTTCATCTTCTGAAGGCCACTACGGCTCCCTCTCACACCCACACTCCTCACCCGGCTTTTATCTCCAGAGACAAGGCTTCCAAGGCAAACATCCTTTCTTTCACCACTAAAATGTGGACACTCCAGGGTAATGAGGCAATTATAATTGTGAAAAGTCGAAGGCTTCCCTGGCTGACATCCACTTCCAAGGAGTCGCTCCTAGTTTAGATACAGGAAGCTTTCTGATCAAAACTCACTTAAGAATAAGTGTCCTGTCATCACGGGGAGCAAGGATTCACGAGTGAAACAGCTTTTCTCTCCTTCTTATCTTCCCACCGGGGGCAGATGGAGAGCAGAAAGACTCCCCTCACCTGAGACAGACACACACAGAGGGGAAAATCCTCTCGTTTCATTTGCGTTGGTAGAAGTGAGTGTCCACAATCACAGGGCCTGAGCTCTGGGCTGAGTGAGGGCCGGCCCCTCAGGCCTCCAGGAAGTAATCATTACTCTGTGGACGGCGTGCACGGAAAAAGCAGTGAGCCTGGCAGGACTTCCGCCCTGGCCCCCAGCCAGACCCCAGACAATGAGCGATCAGCAGAGGAAACAGCCCCGCATCCCTGGCCTGGGACCCCAGAGAGGTCGATGGGGTATTTATAGCCGTGAGTGGGAAGGCTGCTGCCAACAGGAGCCAGTGCACTGGAACAGTCTGTGCACTCACTCACTGAGGTAGGTTACTCTGCTTATGATGCACTCGGCCAGTTGTTTGGGAGATGATCTGTGAGTTATCACTAACTAGTTTTCTTAGACAATGTCGGGGGACGGTCAGGATGGGGATAAGGATGGATGACCTTCTCCCGGGGCTTGTTCTGGGCTGGAACTTGCCCCCACCCCTCCCAGGGAAGGACTTCTGCTTCTGCAGAATCAGCAGGTAGCAAGAGCTGGTTTTACAAAGTGGGAAGAAAGACTCAGGCAAAGTGAAATAGCGAGATATTCTTCTAACAAAGACAACAAATGAGCATCATATTTCTCCTGAGTTCCAGCTTCTGCCTGTAGACGCTCAGATGAGCAGAGTCGGAGCTCTCCTATGATGCATGAGTTTTGTATTCAGACTTGGCAGAAAGAAGAGTGAAAGAGGCTAAGATCCTCACAGCCCCCACCTCTCAGATCTCCGTGAGCTGTGGTCATCCCAGGGTCTGGGGTGGGGCAGGGCCTGGGAGTCTGCATTTCTAGCTGGCTCCCAGGTGTTAGGCTGACCCTTGAACATCACCCCAGGGTGCCAGGCTGTGACCACACTCAGCTCCCAGCCCCACCCACTCCCTAGGCAAGCTGAGGGTGGTAAAGACAGGACAACACAGATGTCCAGTGAAGCAGCTCCTCTCTTCCAGGCCACCTGATGCAAAGTGTCAACTCATTGGAAAAGACCCTGATGCTGGGAAAGATAGAGGGCAGGAGGAGAAAGGGGTAACAGAGGATGAGATGGTTGGGTGGCATCACCGACTCAATTGTCTTGAGTTTGAGCAAACTCCGGGAGATAGTGAAGGACAGGGAAGACTGCCATGCTGCAGTCCATGGGGTTACAAACAGTCAGACACGACTTAATGACTGAATAGCAAAACACACACCAGCTGCTTCCACTCCCACTCCAAGACTGGGCCTTGCTCTCTGCAGAGAAGCTTAAATGTGATTGTAGCCCAAAGAGAGGAAACCACCCACACTGGCAAGGCTGATGGGGCGGGTCTGGCCTGGACCACTCCCCTGGCCCTCAGGTGGGCTCCTATCTGAGTGCAGTGGGACTCCTCTAGAAATGTTCACAGGCAGCTTGGGGAGCAACTGCACAGGCTTCTCCTGCCCGATTACCTTGTATCTTTTACAGACATTTGACATCCTGCCAAGTGGAAATTAGTTGATGTATTTTTTTTCTAGTTCCTAGGTTACTTTTGCTATGTTGTTTTAATTTAATTATGTATTACTTATTAATATTTACATAAAATTGCAAAGGGGCACTCTTAGGAGAAAATTATTTTTTTCTGAACTGATGGCAAGTAATTCTTTTCTCCCATAATAGCTAATGTTAAAT